TTTTAAATTGTACTCAAAATAAATTTTTGATTGTACCCAAAAGTTGGAAAGAATTCATTTCCACACCTAATACATAGCTTTATTTCTTTATTTCTTATTTCTCCAATTACATTCTCTAGTATTCTGTCGTTATAAATACAGATAACGTAGAGTTTCTACAGTAAGATAGTCAAGGTAGCAAGAGCTTCTTAAACTCTGGAGTTTAACCTTCTAAGTCCGAGTTGGACTCCAGAGTATCATACCAGAAATCCATGATTTTCACATTTTCATGCATTGCAAACGAGTAGCCTCCCAATCCGAAGTATAAAGTAGACTATTTTAACCCTGACAAAAATTCTACCACAAGTATTCTACCATAAATTTCAGCAACGAAAAACACATCGTTTTCGCTTGCATTAGAAACATTGTTGGCTCGGTGAACAGTTTCTTTTTTATACGCATACTCGTTTTTCTCTATTTCTCTCCATCTGTCTGATTTTATTTTCCCTCCTTTCAATTTAAAATAACTATTCTTTATATACAACGCACACGTATGATTCGTCGAAAGGACGATCAAACACATACCCTCTATCACGTCAATCACGAAATCATTTTACTTATCGCGCCGCCTCTTTTTATCTCTGTTTGATGTCAACCCCTCATATGACGTGACATATGGTATCCATGTTCGATATCGCGTTTATGGATCTTTCCAATTGAAGAAAATTTGAAGGATCGTTCGTCATATCTGTCGTACACATAAATGATTCCCGAACATGTAAGGACATTCGAGAAAACAGATTAGAATCTTCGTTTAAAATGTTACAATGGTTTGCCTTGCTGTGTTTTAAAAGAAGAAAAAAAATATAATCACTTATCATTTTAAACACTGTTTAAAACGTTTAATATTTGTAATATTACGATGTTTAGAAAAAAAATATATAGACTTGTATGTGACACAATACCTTCACGAAATCGCAAAAGTATTCAATAATTACAGAGGCAGAAGGGCGAAATTAAACGAGATTTTTTTCCCTGTAACGAATTTGCGTCACCGTATTTTTATTTCCAGTATGTGTACATTTTCTCGCAAGGCTTTCACAAATTGGCCCAAATTCAGACTCAGACTTAATTTTTCTTCTTCGTGCAAAATGACGATAACCGTTTTTAACTTAAACTACTCAATATTGGCGTACATATCGTTTCGTAAATATCTCGGTGACAGACTTTCTTCGCGAATGAAGTGTGACGTCATATAAAACATTGTGTGCTCGATCGATCGATCGATTGATTTTTTTATGTAACAAATTTGACGCAGCAGTGACTTTTCCCATCCCAAACAAACAAAGGAACAGAACCCTCGTGTTTAACGGCGATTTTCGTCGTGGACTCGTTTGTTCGAAGATGGCACAAAGAATGGCATCGAGGTTTAGCCATTGCTCTGGTTTCGGCAAAGCAACTGGTTTCAACCAGTTAGACCTGAAATGATAACAGAGAGTTGTAAAATTCGTCTTTAAGCGAGGCAAAGCACAGAATTAAGTTGCTGCTCTTCAGATAAAGTAGTAAAACATTATTACCGTCACCGTTTACACTATATTAATTGACAATTAACATGTGTCTATCTTTACTACGGCAGTGGAAATGATGAAAAATACTTACTTGATTTTTCACGAGGACAGAATTTTTGTAACAACTGAATGGTCTGGTATGTATCAGCGGCACGGTCAAGTAGGATTTTCCTGTGTGACATGTGTTAACCTGACTCTGTGGTTCTTCAAGATTTTATACGTTTCCATAAAACGAAGTGACTTTGCGTGGCACATCGTCGAATTCGTCTGAACAAACGCTATCATATCGAAAGATATTCTATGTATAAATGAATGCTTTCTATTACAAAGGTATTTATTGTCATTTAAAGTTTCAGTAAATGGAGCTTACTGCTAATTATGAAATACTATGAAATTGTTATGTTCTTTAGTTAGTACTAAGAACTTTATCAATAATAAATGAATTTACTGAAAATATGAAAGAAAACTTTTTTATCGAACTTCACCATAAGGATGGTTGACATGTTTTGATCTGTCACGCATTGCGATACACTGTTGCCACATCTAAACCGCGCATGGTTGCCACACACTACAGAAATATCATTTTATGGCCAGGCTTTGCGACTCATGAGAACCAGCCAAGAGGCCCGCATCGTACGATTCTCATGTGAAATCAGCTGTCGATAATGTAACACGTTGATAAAATAATAGAAAACTAAAGATTATTCAGTCGTTTAGATTATTCAATAACACGGATGTTAATTTCGAAATGACTCATACACAATAAATTGTTACTGTAATGCGTTCCTGACGATATCCGGATTTAGTTTATTTCATTTTATAAGGGAATATTGTTAAAAGAACGAGTGTTTTGCAAAAGGAAATGAATGTGGTGTGTAAGGGAGAAATAAATAGACTATAAAATGCTGTAAAACAATTTAATGTAAAAAAACAATGTAAAACAATATTGTAACCTTTTATGAAATACATTTTATACAGTTATCTTGCAATAAGTGATTGATTTTTTAATAAATAATTGTATTTCTTCATTTTCCCTGACGTTGAAGTCCTTTCCTTCATCCTTGTAATGGCCTGAGAGTTCCATCTGTAATTCACACAAAAAGAATATTAATTTTTTAATTTTCAATAAAAGTTATAAATAATTTCTAACTTATCTACTGCATGCAATTGTTAATTCATGCAAAATCAATAAATTCAGCTGTTTTATTAAGTTAAATCATGCAACAAATTCAATAATTATAAACTACCATCTAAATTGTTATTTAACAAGAAACACTAATTATTCTATAATTAAAGTACTTGAAAATATAAAAATATTTTACTATTTACATTATTAGTACTGTCAAAGCAATTAAAAAGTGGTTATAAGTATCAATTAAATATAATAGGGGTGACGAGGATAGCAATAGCGAAGAGACAATGAATAGAATAGCGGTAGATAAGAATAGTACTACGGAAATGAGTTAGATAAGGAAAGGAAAAGGGTTAAATAAGAATAGAGAATTTAAAAAATGTAACTAACGCCATCTCGTGTTTGGCTGCGCGAACTAACAGCTCGTTACTCGGAACACAGGATATAAACAGAGGTATTAGACAAGGAACGCACTACTGTGCGACAAGGACAGAGAGAAAACGTTTCCTATTGGCTGGCGGTCCGCCATGCTACGCCGGCCAGGCCCAAATCATGTCAGCCGGTGAAAAATTATTAATAACTCATTATTTACGATAAATATGTGAACTTTTAGAATTGAAGAATGCAGTATGAACCTCTAGCAACTTTCTCATATAAGTTTTAAGGCCCTAGCTCCTTTCAATAATTAGTTATTAATAATTGTTGTGCGAATTGTCGGGAACGACACAACGGTCCCTTAGGGTTTTTCATTAATATCATTGTTCAGTATCAATTCCCTGCACAATCTTTATATATATCTGGAAGGGAGCATCTCTAGCTACATTCTTATGTAATTTTCAGTAACACATACGATGTAGTTTGATAGTTATTAAACATTATTCGGAAGAATGCTATACTCGTCGAATTCCAGCATAACACTTCTCTGTCAATTTAATGGAATTTCATGGAATTGGATGATTAATTCTATACTTTTAAGATGATAGAATGTAACACGGACTTTCCTTTATATTCTACAATCATTTTAGTACTCGTATGCAATTTCATTTATTAAATGTTAGCAATTGTTTATAACAGTTGAGCTCCCTCGGACATGATGAGCGGAAGACTCTCCCACATAATGTTTAATAACTCTTAAACGAAACTGAATATGTTCATAATAATTATATGAGAATGTAGCCAAAAGAGTTGCCTTTTTGATGCGTATAGTTAGTTGCACGAGAATTTAGTAGAAAGCTATGAATTTATTGAAAAACAGTAAAGTTACTTGACGGTATACGGTATCGTTCCCGACATCACGTACTAAAATTGTTAATAACTAATTATTGAGAGGACCTAGGGCCTTAAAACTTACATGAGAAAGTTGCTGGAGGTTAATACTACATTCTTCAATTCTAAAAGTTCACATATTTATCGTAAATAATGAGTTATTAATGACCTTTCACCGGCCGACTTGATTTAAGGCCTGTAAGGCGTAGCATGGCGGCCCGTCAGCCAATAGGAAACGTTTTCTCTCTGTCCTTGTCGCACAGTAGTGCGTTCCTTGTCTAATACCTCTGTTTATATCCTGTGTTCCGAGTAACGAGCTGTTATTTCGCGCAGCCAAACACGAGATGGCGTTAGTTATATTTTTTAAATTCCCTATTCTTATCTAACCCTTTTCCTTTCCTTATCTAACTCATTTCCGTAGTACTATTCTTATATACCGCTATTCTATTCATTGTCTCTTCGCTATTGCTACCCTCTTCATCCCTATTATATTTAATTGATACTTATAACCACTTTTTAATTGCTTTGGCAGTACTAATAATGTAAACAGTAAAATATTTTTATTTTTTCAAGTACTTTAATTATAGAATAAATAACGATTCTTGTTGAACAACAATTAAGATGATAGTTAATAATAATTGGAAGTATTAAATTGAATTGTTGCATGACTTAATTTAATAAGACAGAATAATTTATTAATTTCGCATTGAATTAACAATTGCATGCAGTAGGTAAGTTAGAAATTGTTTATAACTTTTATTGAAAATTGAAAAATTAATGTTTCTGTGTGAATTACAGATGGAACGCTCAGGTCAACTACAGGAATGAAAGGAAAGGACTTCAACATCAGGAAAAATGAAAAAAATGCAATTATTTATGAAAAAATCAATTATTTATTGTAAGATAAGTGTACAAAATGTATTTCGCAAAAGGTTACGATAAGCCATACGCATTATCTATATTTTATAGGCATTATCAATATAGTTACATAAATATATTGTTATCTTTACGGCCTAATCTATAGTTACTTTGTATATACTACGCGTTCGTACAATTTATAACCTATACTACATACTGTAGACCTGTAGGAAGGTTATTTGAAAGTCAAAAGTTAGCAATTTTATAATATTCATAAAGTGAGTAAAGTAGGAAAGAATTTAAATTGAAGTAAAAGTTATTAAGCAAACAATTTAAAATAATTTAAGTAAGCACAACGTGGTTTAACGTAGATTGATTTTCAAACATCGTAAGTAATTATAATTTATTTTTATAACCTTGTCTGACCTTGAAATTTTCCCTACGCCTCCACCCACGCCAAAAATATTTGTTACAATATGTCCCCCTCTATGTCATACAATTTTGTATACAACATTTTTTCATATTACTATAAATAACGGAAATATGTGAGGTGGACAAAATTATTGTCTTACCCTGTATACTTCTTAAGTGATAAATTCATTTTCTAATTAACTTCTACTGTTATAGATGGCTGTTCATTGGGGCATAGCAAGTGTTGGAAAAATATCTCATGATTTTACGACGGCTTTACGAACATTGCCAGCATCTGAACATGAGATTGTTGCAGCAGCTGCACGTGACTTATCAAGAGCACAATCCTTCTCTTCCTTGCACAAAATAAAAAAAGCCTATGGCAGTTACACAGAATTGGCGAAGGATAAGGATATTGGTATATTCTTCAAAACAAATTTTTTAAACATATGATCAATAAGAGTAAATATCACTTTTTTCTATTTTAAATCTTATTTTTACAGATATTGTATATCTTGGAATGTTGAATCCTCAGCACTTTGAAACTGCAAAATTAATGTTAGATCATGGAAAACATGTTTTATGTGAAAAACCTCTAACTATGAATTTAAAACAAACCAAAGAGTTGATCAATTTGGCAAAAGAAAAAAAGTTATTTTTAATGGAAGCTATTTGGAGTAGATGTTTCCCTGTATATGAAACTATTAAAAAGGAAATTGATTCTGGAAGTATTGGACAAATACATCAAGTTGTTGTATCTTTTGGATTTAATATGCCAGATGTTCAACGACTTAAGTACATAAACAATTTTTTTTTAACTTTTATTTTTAATAACTTATCAATTTTACTTGCATTATCGGGTTTACTCTTAGTCAGAATTGCCGGCGATAGATAGTAGGGACATAAACTCGTGAAGAAAACATGTCTCATACTTGTCGATTATAAACAACATATTATCGATTATAATTTTAACCAAAATGCGTTGGAGGAGTGTATACTATATAGTAGCGAATACTTCTATATTGCATAATTTTTTATATTTTAAAATAAAATTTATTGTATTAAAAGATATTTTGTTTCGTTTAGCTTGAAAAGTATGGGAGGTGGTACTGTATTGGACTTAGGCGTATATGGAATACAATTCGCTTGTTTAGTATATAATAACGATAGACCCCATACTATACGAGCTGCTGGTTGTTTAAACGAAGAGGAAGTTGATCAGTCTGTGTCTGCCAGCTTAATTTACGAAGGGAATCGTACTGCAACTATTATTACTCATTCCTTGGTAGATTTACCTAATGAAGGTTATATTATTGGTACAAAGGGAACGATAAAAGTACCGAACTTTTGGTGTCCTACAACTGTAGAACTACCAAGTGGTACAGTAAACGTTCCACTTCCTAAAGGTGAACATCAATTTAATTTCGTGAATAGTGCTGGACTGAGATACGAAGCTGATGAAGCACGCAAGTGCATCTTAGCAGGTATTGAATGCTTTTGTTTTATCGTAATTTTAAAAAATTTGAAGCTACTAAATTTGGAGACTTTGTAAATTGTGATTTCCTTGATATATTCATTACTTATTTAATTATTACTGTTTACTGATTTCATTTAAGAATAGAGGAAGTGTTAGAACGTTATTGCTCATTTCTATTGTTTTATTTTAGGTCTGACTGAAAGTTCCAAAGTACCACACAGTCTTTCGTTACTGATTGCAGAATTAGAGGATGAAATTCGAAGACAGGTTGGAGTTACATACCCTGAAGATTAAAATCTATCATAAACAAATGAGTCAATTTGTTTCAATTAACTGTTTTAAAAATAAATGTGTTATTTTTCTATATCAAAACTACATTTCTGAATGTAAAAAATTCCATTATTGAAAATAAAAGAATTTATACTCGATAGATGTACTTTATTTTCATAGCATTCACTCTAATATTCAGCAGAGCGTTTTGTAGGTCATTTCTTTTTTTTCAAAGTTATCAAGGTCACCTTTAATTTTTTAGGTGGAACCCTGTAATTTTTTTCTTCTATACTTTATCGGACAAAAAGAAAAAAGCGGTAGGAACCGTAACATACTTTTTTCGAACAAATTATGAACAGGAGAAATTGGTAGAAAAATTTCATCGGGTAAAAATCTAATGTACATACAATACTTTTCTCTATGTTATATGTTGTATATTTTTTATTTAAACTTCTTAGAAGTATTACTATTAATGGGCATAATAAATTAAATTTGGATTTTCGCCAAATTCGAGACAATATTCCATATAAATAATAAAAGTCAATGAAGACTTTCTGACGTCTTTAATAGTAAGAACATGTAGCATGTATATTAGTTTATTGAATTTTTATAATAACATTGTAACGCGCCGCAGATTTTGTTACAGAGGTAGATATTTATAATACGACGATAACTTAAGCAACGGGTGTATTAACGTGAGAATGTGGAAGTTGGACGGAGAGATGCGAGGCGGGCAGTGATAACAAATGTCCGCGTTCCATTTCATTTACTTCTTGATGTTCAGTCCCCCCTATTGAACCAGTTGAACGTGCAAGACTATTTCGTTGTCTGCACATGTATGGTGTTTCTCCTGGTGAAGGAGTTTCACGACCCTGTATAAGAAATGTACATTATTTATACACTTTCCAAGTAAGAATATAGCTTTTTCTAAACATTTTTATACGTAATATAAATGGTTTCAAGGGGTGAACAAGAAGGAAGGAAAATTTTTTTATAAGGATGTATTATATTTTTTTCTACTGTATGTTGTAGCAGACATTGATATGTATATTATTTAAACAAATCGACTTTTTTCAGAAATACAAATTTCTGAAATATTGAACTGAATACGTTTACTACCCCCGATTTTAGAGACGAATTTTATCCTTTCAATGTGGACGATTGCCAATAACAAAAAATACGTGTCGAATATTTTTCTGAGATCTATCACATATCCAATTTTCATCAAAATCGGAAATTATCACTTCGAGATACTCCCTTGTTAGTTGTACTTCCATGTAAGGAACCATCGTATATTTGGTAAATAAAGTGTAAATAACAACAAACCTACAACTGTATTTGAATCTGATTTAATAGCTTGTACACATCGTCCAAAACACTTCGATTTAGAACAGATAGAATGGGAATTTGTATCTTTCTTCGTGTTATTCTGCAGAAAGGAAGGGATGGACTTTGAATCTAGGGAAATCCTTATTCAAATACAAAAGAAATACCTGTTTGGAAGGACCGCAACATGTTGCATGATTACACGGCTTATCAGTCTTTGGACAGTCCAGTACACAATCTTCCGTTGGTGTTTCCTTAACTTCACTATTAGAATGGTACTAGAACATTAGTAATATAACATTATAACGTGAAATATAGATTTTATACTATATTTCCATTTCTCGTATAATACAGATTGCATACCCAACAGTAATAAACTATATTTTTAAAACGATAAAAATTTCGAAATATATGTCATAAACAAAATGGAATTATATCGGATGCTGTATATTTATACTTTAACAATAACACTATTTTTAATGAAATTCTATACTTTTTTATGCACTATTCACTGTAAGTTTTTACTGTAAGTTATTAAATATATGTGATACATTTATAAATTTATAATATAATATACTTACATCAATAAACTCTGGCTGTATCGTGGTAGAATGTATACCTTCATTGTGAAAAAATTCTTTAACTTGTTCTGCAATTTTCATGTATTCAGACAAATTTCTGCATCTTATATGAGCTGAAGCGATAATACGATCACCAGCTAATTGCCACACGTGAAATTCATGTACAGCCAGAACGCCGTCAACATTTTCCAACAGTCGTTGTTGAATGGCATCAACCTAAAGCGATAAAATTTTTATTAATACACTATTTACATAGTATAGTTACACATGTAGTACAAAAATAATGTCGCAACGATTTATAAAAAGTGAAATTACCTGAATATGCGTTGGTACAGTCTGCAATAGAATCAATGCAGATTCTTGCAATAAAGGCCACACAGATCGTAGAATAAGAATAACTAATAAAAGTGAAAGAGCCGGATCGATGTAAAATCTGCAAAACAAAAGTTACATATTTAATTATAAAACATATTTAACGCATTATATTATCCATATTATTATGTTTATATTTCTATCAGGTATGTTTATCACACACAACATTAACAACATCGCCTAAGACGACACTCGTTTCTACATGAAGAAATTTTACAGTCGATTTAATTGTCTGAACCGCATATTCATCAATATTAACAAACAAAGCGATTCTCTAAATTTTTTTAGTTCTTTAGATTCATTCAAGCGTAAATA